CAATGGGGTATTCTATTGAGCCACATGATATATCTTTTGGTAATCAACTTGCGGATTTCCGAGGTGACATTGGGGTAATCTAGGTACATAGGTTGATACAAGTTTTCGCTCTACTTTCTCCAATAGAAACTTTGTGGTACTCTTTGAAGTTCTTTGTGTTGGATTGAATATTATGAATATGAAATTGTTTGATGCATGTTAAATTAACTCACGGATACTTGTGGTGACAATGGAGTATCTAGGTGACATTAGAGTTGATTGATGCGTATCATATGATGTTATTTTAGTAAGAACTCTAGGGTTGTTTGTGGCACTTATAGGGATGTATTAATAGATGGGACAATTGCATTTTTACCCCTAGTTGGTTCCTACACACGGGTTTTGCCCTTAATTTTCGAGCCTGCTCAGTTTTGCCCTTACTTTTTCCATCGAGATCCCTCAAATGCCCTTTGACCGTTTGACCAAAACTTTGAAAATTTGTAACTAATTCATACAAACTCAGAAAAATGCAAATAAGATATCAAAATGTTCAGATAAACATTACCTTCATGGGCATATCATTTGCATTCAGGAAAAAAACATCGTTTAAACTACCCGAGGTAATTAATGTTATTAATATTATTAAAAATAAATAGGTATAAACAATATTTTTTTCATGAATAAAAATTATAAGCAAATGTAGGCGATGTTTTCTGAACATCTTGATACCTTATTTGCATTTTCCTGAGTACATATCAACTTGTTATGAAGTTTCCAAATAATGGTCAAAGTCGTTAGAACATTCATAACAAGTTGATACAAACTCAGAAAAATGCAAATAAGTTATCAGGATGTTCAGAAAACATCACCCACATTTGCATGTAATTTTTATTCATGAAAAAAATATTTTTATACCTATTTATTTTTAATAATGTTAATAACATTAATTACCTCGGGTAGTTTAAACGATGCTTTTGTCCTGAATGCAAATGATATGCCCATATAGGTAATGCTTATCTGAACATTTTAATATCTTATTTGCATTTTTCTGAGTTTGTATGAATTTGTTATGAATTTTCAAAGTTTTGGTCAAACGGTCAAAGGGCATTCGAGGGACCTCAATGGAAAAAGTAAGGGCAAAACTGAGCAAGCTCGAAAAGTAAGGGCAAAACCCGTGGGTAGGAATCAACTAGGGGTAAAAATGCAATTGTCCCTTAATAGATTGATCGGAAATGATGACTTTGAGGTGGTTTACTACCTACAACAATTTCATCTTATGTTCCCTGCTATTGATAAGAACTTTGGAAACCTATCCAGGTTCAAATCCCAACCGTTCAGCAGGTGCATGTCCGCCTAGGGATGGGTATGGCCTCTCCCAATAGCGTTGGCACATCGGGACGGGCATGTGTGTGCGGTCGTGTGCGGGCGGCACAGCCTCCTGCGACATCATGGTGAAGGGTACCGCCCTGAGGAGGAGCCAGCCTCGTGGTCGTGCACTCCGGGCATCCACTTCCATAGTGTTTTGCACCGTGGGTGGGCGATGGCTAGTGTTTGACTGTCTGATGATGACCGGGGTGGGGGTTGGGAGAGGAGTGGGCGCGGATGGGCGCCCCCTCTCCAACTCACATGTGGCATTTAGAAAGGACCAGACATGGGTAGTTGGGTAGCTGATGCGTGGACCTGGATGAAACATGGAGTGGACGCGCGGTGCATCCGTCTGCTGTCCCATGGATGCAAACCTGGCCCAAATTTGGGGCAGGTTTGCGTCCCTACGGACACGAAACAGACAAACTGGCCAAATGGGTCGACACGTTGAACGAGCGCACCAAATGATCCCCTCATTGAAACCGTCGAGCATTTTCCAATAGATGATTTACATATAATAATAACCAAAATATACATCGCTTAGGCTAAAAAACATCTCTCGAACAGATGATGTAGATGCATTATTTTACTCAGATTTTACATATGATGTAAAATGCATCACCAAATATACATCACATGGTCGCACCACATGTAAAACGGACAGCAACCTGATACGTCTTCAACTTATCTATAATTTTTGATTGTTCGATGTTATTATCGTATCAATTTTGGATGTTTATTATGCAATTATATATCAATTTTTGTGGCTAACCTATTAACCTAGTGCCCAGTAAGGTGTCAAAAAAACTTAGTGCCCAGTGCCGGTTGATGTTTTTTTCTTGTTTCTGGCTTTTCAGGAAAATTAGTACCAAACGGGTCCAAATGCTACGAAACTTTTAGACAATTTTTTCTGGACCAGAAGGGACCCCTAGAAGCTACGGGAGAAGACCTGAAGTGCCACGAGGCAGCGACAAGCCTGTCAGGCACGCCCGGGGGCGCAAACCCAAGGCTTGTGGGCCCCTCGTGGCACCTCTTGACCTAATTCCAGCTCTATAAATTCCTAAATATTCCCAATACATCACAGAGCCACCCGAAACACTTTTTCCGCCGCCGCAAATTTCTGTTCCTTCGATATCCCATCTGGAGGCCTTCTCCGGTACTCTACCTGAGGGAAAATCGACCATGAAGGGCTCTACATAATCCTTGCTGCCCTTCCGATATGCGTGTGTAGTTTACCACAGACTATGGGTCCATAGCTAGTAGCTAGATGACTTCTTCTCTCTCTTTGATCTTCAATACAATGTTCTCCTCGATGTTCTTGGAGTTTTTTTCGATGTAATCTTCTTTTGCGGTGTGTTTGTTGGGATCCAATGAATTGGTTGTTTATGATCAGATTATTCATGAATATTATTTGAGTCTTTTCTGAATTCTTATATGCAGGATTATTATAGCTTTGTATTTCTCTCCAATCTACTCCCACCATTCCTTCATATAAGGTGTATTTGTTTTTTCAAAAGTCAAAGGAGGTTATGTTTGACCGAATTTTTAGAAAAATATACCAATATCCACAATATAAAATTTATATCATTTGATTCATCATGAAAATTAGTTTCATATTTTGTCTATTTGGTATTTCATATGTTGTTAGTTTATTCTATACTTGGTCAAACATTCAAATGGTTGACTTGCACGGAAAACAATACACCTTATATTCTGGAACGGAGGGAGTATTGATTTGGTTTGGCCAAATAGATTGATTTTTCTTGCAACATGAGAGGTACTTTATGATGGGTTCGATCTTGCAGTGCTTAATCTCAGTGACAGAATGGGACATGACACGTATTTGTATCGTTGTCATTAAGGATAAAACGATGGGTTTTATTCATATTGATTGAGTTTAGTTTGTCTATATAATGTCATCTTGTTTAAGACGTTACTCTATTCTTTATGAACTTAATACTCTAGATGCATGATAGATATCGGTCGATGTGTGAAGTAATAGTAGTAGGTGCAGGTAGGAGTCGGTCTACTTGTCTCAGATGTGATGCATATATACATGACCATTGCCTTGAATATCATCATAACTATGCGCTCTTCTATCAATTGCCCAATAGTAATTTATTTACCTGTTGTATGCTAGTTCAAGAGAGAAGCCTCTGTTGAAACTATGGCCCCCGGGGCTTATCTCTATCATATATTAAAAATCCAAAAATACTTTACTGCAATTTCTTTACTGTTATTTTTATTTTGTGTTTTTGTTTATTTATCTACCATTATCATATTTGATCCTTGCAATTAACCATCAAGGGATTGACAACCCCTTGTTTGCGTTGGATGCAAGTATTTGTTCTTTTGTGTAGGTGTTGTTCACGAGGTCTTGTGTGGTTCTCTTACTGGATTGATAACTTTGGTTCTTAAGTGGGGGAAATACTTATATCTACTATACTACATCATCCTCTCCTCTTGGAGGAAATCCAACGTAACTCACAAGTAGCATAGCCAGCGAACGCCCAATCGCCACTTCCTCACTTCCCCCCACCCATCGCACGACTGTTGCCTTGCCTCCCGCTGCACCATGCCGCCGCGTCGCCCGCCCACCATACCCTGCCGCACTCTGCCGCCGCCAGATCCAGACTGCCTACCCTTGCCGTCGATCCGCCACATTTCTGCCGCCCCGCCTGCAAATCCGCAAAATTCGCCACTTTTATGTCGCTTCGTCGCCGTCGCGTGATTTAAGCTTCTTCGTTGTCATCCTCACAGCCTCTGGCCTTCCCACCCTCACCTTCGTCGAAGCCGCAACTTTTTCGCCACCCCATGCCTCGAATCCGCCGCGTTTGGAGCTTCACCCACCGCCACGCGATTTGGAGCTTCTTCGCCGCCGCGATGTCGCTCAATTTGGCCGTCGCGCGCCTCGACTCTGTAGGTCACGTCGAAGCCGCACCGCGTCACCGCCCATGCCGCCGAAGAAGGTCTCCAAGAGCAAGACCGGCTTCTTCGGGGTGCGGATGAAGCCATCCAGGAACTTCGGCGTGGAGTTCCGGTGTGATGGCTATCACTACTGGATCGGTATGTTTCACTCCGCCGACGAGGCTACGTGTGGGTATGACATCGCCGCGTGCCATTACGTCCGGCCGAGGCACGAGATGAACTTCCCGAAGTAGTGATCGATCTTGAAGTAGACTTGGAGTAGTAGTAGTTTGTGTTTGTGTGATGCAGTGGTTTGAACTATGTTTGCTTCAAAAGAATTTGCTATGTTTGAATTATGTTTGCAGTGATGTTGTAGTTGAACTAGTTTTACATCATCTATTGGAGCACTACTTTTTGGAGTTTGGTGTTCTCTAATGATGTACTCCTTCGTCCAGAAATACTTCTCATCAAAATGAATAAAAGGGGATGTATCTAGATGTATTTTAGTTCTAGATACATTCCGTTTTATTTATTTCGATGACAAGTATTTTCGGACGGAGGAAGTAAATTTTACATCTAGCATTTTTATGTGCGTTGGAGATGCTCTTAGTGCTCGCTTGTGTTTCATTGTTTTTCTCCTCCCCTACGGTTTCTGTGGGGAAAAAAAAGCAGCAAGCTCAAGCGGCCAACAAGTCTTTACAGCATCCCCATTCCCCAACACCTCCGATCTAGTATCCCTCAAAGCTTCCATGGAGAAGGCGCCAGGCACGAGCATCGAGGCTATCATCCGACGGCTTAGGCTCCACCAGGCGCCTCCCTCCCCTTACTCCGGCGATCCCTCAACAGCGGCGACCCCCGCCGCAGCCAACCTGTTTCAGCCGCGGAGAGCCGCCGTACTGGTCTGCCTCTTCCACGACGCTGCCGGCGAGCTGCGTGTCCTCCTTACCAAGCGCGCTTCCTCCCTCTCCACCCACTCCGGTGAGCAGCTCGCTCGCTTCTTCGTGGCAGCTTTTGATCGATCCGAATCGTGGCGCCCCGGTAAAAAGTTTTAGGGGAATGTCGGTGTATGCGCAAGTTGGGGTTCAGGGGCTGAAGCATCCTACATTTCGCTTTCAGGTTCCATTTTACGGTCCATAGGTGTCTGAATTGCTATTTCGCTTTTGTACTTCTCCGAATTTTATCAAGGGGAATTCAAGCAAAGAATTTGACTTCTGGTTGGAAGTTGAAGCAGAATCTAGTAGAAAGCGTTGGTGTTTAGCAGCTTTCAGGGTTCAGATGTTTGTACAGCTGAGCCCATACGGGTTTTAATATAGTAAACTACGTGTAACGACTGTTGTTTATCATTAATCTTAATTCATTGGCTCCCGGTTCTTCTAGCAAGCTCTTAAAAATTATTCCTTGCGAGTAGGTATGCTACCATGGTGTTCAGTTAGTTTATGCTACCATGATGTTTTGTCTCTTATTAGACCAGGTAAGTACAGTGTCCTAGATATTTAAAACTTGTTATGTACATTGCCTAAGCACACGCATGCTGGTCCTGAGGTTTTGGTCAGCGCAGAGCGATTTGGAGAAATCCCTTGGTATATAAAATCTGATAGTCCCTTGGTAAATATGCATTCTACATCATTCTAGTTTAATAGTCACCATTTGATGTATTTTAGTGTATATGAAAATTTTCCCCCAGAAAAGGCTACAAGTTCCATAATATACTGCAAAAATCCTAAGATTCCTACAAATACCCAATATTCTTACAAGAAAATTTAGATTTTTAACCTAGCTCTCTGTTTAGCGCTCGTTTGGCTTGTCTTAGCTTTTATATTGAACAATCAGGTTAACAAATGGATGCCAACCCAGACACGAGCTTGATAAACCCTGTCTGATTTTGTTTTCCCCATTTGAGATTTGCAGGGGAGGTTGCATTGCCCGGAGGAAAGGCAGAGGAGGGTGATGCTGATGATGCAGCAACGGCATTAAGGGAGGCAAAGGAGGAGATTGGGCTTGATCCAGCCTTGGTCACTGTCGTCTCCTCGCTTGAGCACTTCTTGTCCAAGGTAAAATGTCTATGGGTTCTCGCTTATACCCCTACTAGAAAAATCACATCATACAGCAGGACAGATTATTTAAGTGCATCACTGGAAGGCATGCTAGTTTTTTTCTTCTTCTTAGACTTCGAGAAAACGCATGCATGCAGCTAAGATTTAGGATATGCTTATAGATGTTTTGAGGATCATGTAGCAGGCTGTTCTTTAGAGTCCTCTTTTGCCGGATAGAATGTTATCTTTTTGTACTTTTCATATCTCAAAATTAATGTCATGAGCTCTCTTGGAAAGTTGCATAGCAAGTGAAACATTAATCTGAAAGATGAAAAAATTGACTGTAATTTGAAATGGACCAAAAGCGTACCGCAGTTTAACTTGGGGCTAGGCAGCTTATTTAGATCGTACTCCCTCCCTTCCAAAATACTTGACTTCCATTTGTCCAAAAATGGATGTACCTATATACTAAAACATGTCTAGATACATCTATATTTTGACAAATGGAAGGCATGTATTGTGGAACGGAGGGAGTATATGTTATCTCTTGCTTTTCAAGGTGGTGGACGTAATCAACTTTTGCATTCTTAATGGCCTTGTTTAGGATTTGATTGCGGTAAGGATTGTGTTACAAACTTACAATATAGGCACTGTTCTTGATGTTATGTAACACATGTGGCCTTTGACCGCACTTGTCGCATGCCTCTGAAGATTACTTTAATTCTGCCATTTCATTACATGATGTTTATGTGAAATATATATAAGACAATAATGCTAATTTATCAATGAATAATATAAAGTCAACTTCCTAGAATTGAAATGCATATCACCTGCTGCAGAGGAAGCCTGGTTTTATCACTGAATTCATTGTAGTAAAATGGCTAAGACGTAGGCCTTAGGCCAGGAGCTCCCTTTGTTTTGTTTCTTAGCACTTTCCAAGCCCACTACAAATTATTGTGCCGTCTCACCGTTTTGGTGTTTTGATTGATAGACTTCCATCAAGATTAATACTCTCCATTTCTTTGGCAGCATCTTCTGGTAGTTGTTCCTGTTGTTGGCATACTCTCAGATATACAGGCTTTCAAACCTGTCCTTAATGTTGATGAGGTGGACGACATTTTTGATGTACCCCTAGAGATGTTCCTCAAGGTCAGTGCTATCTATGTTTTCACATGCTAATTAATGGGCTATATACAGTCTTTATTTATGTTTTTTAGGCTATGGTACTTATGTAAGCCTGGGTTGCATGTTTGTGATATTTGCAATTCACCGTGAAAATGACCAGTCAACTGTAAAGAAGTGAACCACATGAATTACCATTCTGTGTGACGTATTGTGCTACAATAATATGTATACTGAAAAATGCTTAGCCACAGCAGTAGTGGCGCAAGAAATTTCTTATATTTTTTTCTTGAAATCTTAGAATTTACTCAAAGCCGTTTTCCCTTGGATCCCTTTGTCAGGATGAGCGCAGGAGATCCGAGGAGCGAGAATGGATGGGGCAGGCGTTCACACTTCACCACTTCGATTATGAGAAAGGCGACAAGACGTATGTAATCTGGGGGCTGACTGCTGGCATCCTGATTCACGCGGCTTCAGTTGTATACCAGCGGCCACCAGACTTTGCTGAGCGAAGGGTACAATTCAACCTGCCGAAGTACTCACAGGAGTCTTCTCCAATGCCATGATCAGGATTAGGATGCGCACTCAGTTACATGCCTGATTCAGCACACAGAAGACTACATACACCAAAAGAAATGGTATAGAATCTAAAAGGTTTCCAAATCATGTGTTGTTATACAATTCATTCATTCTTCTATGCGCCACGACCCTGCGATTGATGTGAAGTGCGATACCCTGGTGGTTCAGCTGCGACGATGATCATGCAGGCCGGGCCGCATCAAGCAATGGATTACGATGCATTCGATGGTGTGCAGCTTGCCACACACAGCGACTAAAAATCAAACGTTCGACAAACATATTTGTATTCTATTCTTTGCATAATAATACATTGCAAGAACATTAACATTCAGAAAATTATTTGGTGCTAATTTGAGTACACTCCAAAAATTTGCTCCGCTGCTTCTGTACTATGGTTGCTCCTTTCTTGTACTATATTATTTCCCCCGTCTTTTGCTCCAATCCGTTGCCTAATTATTGTCACTGCAACACGGTCTACACTGAAAACACCTTAAACCATATATAAAATGGAATTCACCACCACCATTTTGCAGTTCCTTGAGAAGTAGAATTGGCGATTAACTTCAATTCAAACATTTCCGGGTGTCAACGGAACTGCACTACATAGAATTATTATCTCAAAATCAAGTCCAACTTCCGTTTGCTTAACGGTCCGGGGTTACAGCGTCGCACCGATTATCACCTGTGTTTCTGTGTTGTAGTCGAGGCCGAAAAATTGTAGTCTCAGCCTCCATTGTCAAAATACAAACTGAATATACAGCCCAAAGTAAAATACACACCACAAGGGTTTATACAACTGCAATCTGTATGATCCAGCACCAGTGTGCACTCTGTTCAGTGTTACCACCAACTATCAAATATCCTCGGGGTTTATGTTCTCTTCTATGACCTCAATGCAAGATCCAACTGACCTCCCAGAAGACATTGCCTCCGCAAGCTTCGATCTAGCCTTTTCATGGCGGCGCAGTATCAAAACAATGTTCAGCACAGCCCACCTCACCTGTGAATCAGCTTTGTTCTGGGTGAAACCCAGGCTCTTGAACAGTCCATCCAGCTGTTAATGGAAGAAACACGAAAGCACAGAGCAGATAATTAGAGGATTGAGTTACATACGTTTGTCAACTTAGAACGTAAGTAAACTAATGCCGAAAAACCTTGTTAACGTCATCTAGTCCTCCTTCGGCGTATCCGTACAGAAGATGCTCGGTTGCTACTCCGGCCAGTGCAATACATGAGAACTTATTCAACATCTGCCATTAGATCCAACTTATAGCCAGGTCAATCACAAATATGAACCACTATCAGAAGGCAATAAATCGTGTAATACCTTATGATATTGTACATAGCTATTCACTGGGAAAGCAGTAGTTCATGGGGTGGCAATAATTCTGCCCATCCCAGGATATGCTAATTGTGTATTAAATGGCAGTCACTTTAGGTCGAAGTAAACCAAGCAGAGAGCTTTGGAATGGGGATTACTAGTTGCCTAGTGTGTGTTTTTACATAAAGCTTTTCCATATTTTAAATGATCCAACACTATTTTGACCACCTTTAAATTTTAACTTCGGTGAAAGCATATAATCAGCGTGTCCATTGTGGCAGCTGTGAGTTCTGATGCCGGTATACAGTTGGAAGTAGACCTTTATTTTTTGCCAGGATTTGGAAGTAGACCTTGAAGAACAACGAATAACATCTTACATCATTTTTACATGCTTTGCAAACAATAATAATTTAGAGACTCTCACCTTCGCAGACAGTTTGCCTGTATTGATCTGAAAATGAAAACAACAATTAGGCTGGTACATATATAACTAACTTCTTTGTAGGAAAATATATAGAACAACAGCT